AAAAAAAAAAAAAAAAGAATCATGTCATTTTTTTAAATCTTCACAAAATAATTTGTTTACTAGTATTTGTACTAATACTAATTTCCATATAGAAAGTTATATGTACATACTTATATTTTGGAAGTGCACAAATGTCAGTCCGCTGATTCTAGCATTCATATAAAATTACTGACTGATATTTGTCAGGATTTTCCCTGAAGAAAAAATCTTCAATTATATAATTTAATGCTTAAGAATGTTGTGTATTCTTTGTTCATATAAAGTGAAAAATCAGATCCATTATTTAAAGTGTAACTTTTGAAAATATTAACAGATAGTACTAGAATGGGCTTCTCCCCGGAATTTCACTTCAGTTTGTGAAGAACTGGTTAGTAATGTTGAAGCTTTGGGTGAAGAGGTCTGCAAATTGAAAGACTTAATTCAGAAGGTATGTACTTAACATTAAAATGTGGGAGAACTCAGGGAAATATTTTAAAGCAAAAAATGTTAGATAGTAAAGCAGTTTTGATAAGAGGGACAAACAGAATACTTAGACAAGTTTCCAAAGGAATATATATAGATAGGTAGATAGACAGATAATATGTAAACATTGTAGTTCATTGAAGAAGTGCATACCAAAAAACAATGTGCTCTTTTCATAATTTTAATTAGCAAGGAAAAATGTCCTACTCTAGTTATAACTTTCTAGTTAGATCTCACCAAACTATATTCTTACATGAAAATGGTAGCAAAACCCATTCAAAAATAATCTGGCAAGATGTGGTAAGGACCATAAACATAACTGTATCTTTCAGTAGTACATTAGTTTGTTCTGAAAATGTAGGTGCCATGAGTGTCCTATAATAGAATAATTTAATAAATTATAGTATATTTATATGTTAAAATGACGTGCAGCCGGGGGATGAGGGTGAAGCCGAGTAGTAGAGTATGTGCCTATTATGCATGAAGCTCTTGATTCAATCATCAGCACCAAAAAAAAGAAAAAGAAAAAGTAATGTACAGCCAGTTGAAAAAATAATGAAAATCAAGTATCTGCTTGTTAGAAGAGAAGTTATTTTTATACAT